ATCTTCCATTGTGGGTATTCTTCTCGTTGAAGAGTTGGAGGCTTGGTGAGGGAGCCAACACTATATGCAGAATTCTAGTTGGCCATTGAGAATTTTTGAAGAGAGATTTTATGTTTGAAGAGAAAAAAAATTGAGAGATTTTAGATGATCGTTTTGATTGAAGAACAATCAATTGGCTCTGATACCAATTGTTGATCCCAGATCTCTCAATAACACTAATAATTGAGTTAAGAATAACCAAATTATAGTGTTTTAATGGAGAAAGTGATGAACACTCAAGAATGAATTATAAACAATAAATAACAGTCTTGAGCGTCAAAGGTTTCACTTTATTAATGAGAAAAACGTAAAAAAGACATTCAGTACAATAGGCCTAATCACCTATTTATACTAGTAAGCTAATTAGAAGATAACTATCTATTGAGACTTTTTAGCTAATCTTCTATTAACAGATAATATTTATCTAAACTATTGATAAGCTTTAATATTAAGATAAACTTGAAGTGTAGTTGTCGACTTGTCATCTCCACCTGTCTTCCATGGTATGATAAATCATCCTTATCTTTAAATCTTCAACGTATGCCTCTGGATGAATTGCTGGATAATTCTAAGTGTTGTTGACCAGAGGGGCGATGAAGATGCTCTTTCCATCGCATCCCTGGTTGTCCATCGGCCCTCTGGTTGTTCTCCAGACTTAGCCAATTCTGCCTTGATGTCTTCATCGGTCTTCTGGTTCTTCATCACTTATTGTTTTTCATTACTTTTTCACTTTATAAATTATGGGGTTTAACATGATCGGATTGTTGTCCAGGATTTGAAAGAAGTGATTCTTAAAAAGTATTTCAAAGGTGAGTGGTTAAATGCTTTCAAATTACTTTAAATTGTATGTTTAATTGAGCTTTGAAATGATTACTTGGCAAATGATAATTTCGACCGGATTATGTTAAATCGGATGGGTGTTAAGCGATTTTAAGTTAAATCGGACAAAGAGTGAGCAGTTTAAAGCTTAATCGGCCAAGGCATGAGTGGTTTAGAGTTATACCGCCTAAGGCATAAATCGATATGGTGTTAAACCGGACAAAAAGTTTGGGCGGTTTACTCATAAATCAAACACTTGTTGGCCGGTTTAGTCTAAATCGCACATAATGTGTATGATGTAGAGAGTTAGTGAGATTTGAACTTTATAAATCGTTTGATTACATTGATCGGAGAAGTATGAATACGATTAAAGGTAACTGCTTTATTTAAATCGGCCGATTATGCATAGTGTTTTCTGGATTAGTAATCCGCACAAAAGTGTTGAAAATTTATTGTAAGTGTTAAATCAGACATAGTGAAGTGTTGTCCGAATTTGTTATCCAGATAAGATTTGACCGGATTTTGAATGGACATATCATTTTGATTCTTTTAACAAAGAAATGGGAATTTTGATAAGAATGATTTTGGAACTGATGTTATTCCATTGACCACGGTCTATTTTACATGGAATAGTTTTATGAAATATTTTTAATGGAGAAATAAGGGTGGCATATCAAGGAGAGGTGTATCATGCGATAAGGGTGGCATATCAAGGAGAGGTGTACCATGGGATAAGGGTGGCATATCAAGGAGAGGTGTACATTTGGATATAAGGGTGGCATTTGTATGTGTTACTATTATATCCCTTAAGAATACCGTGGTCTGGAATCTTTATTTTTTTGTGATTTAAAGGTTTAGGATCAGGGATCTCATTGGAAATCATAGTTTGGATGTTATTGAGGAGGAGATAACAAGTTTGGCCTGAAACTTTGAATAAACCTTATTTGATTTTGAGAGGTTTAAAAGTGGCATTGTGATAAATTGGTTAGTGTAAACCTATTTGGATTTAATGTATTGTTTGCAAGCAGAGAACTTGGCTTGAAAAGTGAAAGGTATTGGTATAATGTTTGTACTATGTTGCCTGCAAGTTTCATCGGAGGACCACGAGACATACGGCGACGATTTCTTGATGCCATGACTTTAGTGCAAGATGATGGGAAGCCCGATATATTTCTTACAATGACGTGCAATCCGAAGTGGCCTGAAATCCTTAAAGAGTTGTTGTCGGGTCAGACCGCACCCGATCTACCAGACCTTGTTGCAAGAGTTTTTTGTGCAAAACTAGAGGATATGAAAGACCAACTCTTCAAAAAGCACATCTTCGGTAAAGTTGGGGCATATGTTTATGTCATCGAGTTTCAAAAGCGTGGTTTGCCGCATGCCCATTTTCTTCTGATAATGACACCCGAACACAAAATGACCAATCTAGATCATTACGACAAGAGTGTGTGTGCTAAAATTCCGGACCCAACCAGGTATCCCCAAATGCACGAACTAGTTGTCCAACACATGATGCATGGTACTTACGGTCATTTACGACCGTCCAGTCCTTGTATGCAAGGTGAGCCAAAAAAATGTCGTTTCAGATATCCCAAACAGTCCAACGACAAGACGATGCAGGCTGAGGACTCATATCCATCATATCGATGGAGAAATAATGGAATTAATGTGAATGTACGAGACAACATCCTGGATAATAGATGGGTGGTCCCGTATAACCCGAAGCTGTCAATGATGCTTAATTGTCATATCAATGTTGAGGCTTGCTCGAGTATAACATCTGTGAAGTATGTCTTCAAATATGTTTACAAGGGTCATGACAAACAACTTGTTCATATCGATTAAGAGGAAGAAAGGGTCGTTATTAACAAAATTAGAAAGTTCCAAGATGCGCGTTATGTCTCCCCTCCCGAGGCGATATGGCGGATTTTGAGCTTCACACTTTCCCAAATGCACCCTTATATGATGGCGTTGCAACTCCATCTCCCTAACAAACAGATGGTTAGGTTTAGAGATGACGATATAATGACAGATATTGTCGATAGTGTAACACCCCATACCACACATTGCATGTAAGACATATTTCATACATAAGAAATACATGTTTATACCCCACATTGGTCCCTTAATACAAGAATCTACCAGTATAAAATGCATAGTCCAAAAATTGAACATACAAATTCTTGTACTAATCCACGTTCATCTACCAAAACTATACATATCATCATCCACTCTTCATGTAGGTTAACATATAGGGAAATTATCACATTTTTCCTGTTCCCTTACCTTCAGCACTTCCTGCAATACATATTTAAATTCACGAAACGAGGGTTAGACCGAAAGGTCTAGTGAGTTACCCTATTTTTGTCATTGCAGGGTGATAATCACCAAAAACTTATGTAAAACAACTTTTCATATATATATAACATATATATGAATCAAGCAAGGGTCTGGTACTAATGCCTTGTTACTTTTCAAGCCAAATTTCCTTCTTGCAAATAATACATCAACTCTAAACAGGTTTATATTAACCAAATTAACATAGTGCCACTTTTAAACCTTTTCTATTCAAACAAGGTTTATACAAAGTTTTAGGCCAAACCTATTATCTCCTTCTCTATAACATTCAAACTATGATTTCCAATAAGAACTTTGATCTTAAATCTTTAAGTCACAAAGAAATAAAGATTCTAGACCATGGTAATCTTAAAGAATATGATAGTAGAAGTTATATTATATAACACACATATATTGATGCCAACCTTATATCCAAATGTACACCTCTCCTTGATATGTCACCCTTATTTACTCATCAAAACATTTCACAAAACAATTCCATATAGAATTAGACCGTAGTCAATGGAATTATTATTATTAGTTCAAAAATCATCTTTTTCAAAATTCCCCTTTTTATATATAAGAATAATTATATATAAACCATAAATAAGTCAAAATACAAATCCGGTCAAAATAGACCTGGCTGGACTTCATCTCTGGTCGAGTCTTGGCCGGTTTATCAAATTTGGACAACACATCTCCCAAGGCCTGTCCGATTTAACACTTAAGAGAAAATTCCAACACTTTTGTCCGGATAACAAATCTGAACAACACTATCCCCCCCTTTGACCGATTTAAAATAATCTGATCATCACATGGTCGTATTCATACTTCTCCGTTCAAAGTATCATAATCTTAATATTTTTAAATCGTTCAACATTTATCGGATTTAAGACTAAACCGCCTGACTCTTGACCGGTTTATACTTAAACCCCTTACACCTTGTCCGGTTTAAAACTATATCGTTCAACACTTGCCCGGTTTAAGGCTTAAATCGCCCAACCCTTGTCCGGTTTAGGGCTAATCCGGACAACACTCAAATGATTCAAATTTCAAATAAAATGAAAAGTTTATATAATCTAGTCATGCAATTACAAAGAAATTTCAAAGCAGTTAAAACCACTCATCTTGAAAGCCTTTTGAAAATCAGATACTTGAAAACCAACTTGTAATCCAGTCACAAAAACAATCTGATCACACTCTCTTTTCTTAAATCGCTCAATTGAAGTCTCAAAAATAGCAAGAGATTACAATGGAGGTTCAACCTCCGTTTTATACCTTTCCTTTAAAAGGAAGTCGGCTAACTCATGTGCATGCATGCATACCATCTTATGTATGATTTTCATCTCATACATACATTAACTCATATACATACTCAATTCATGCATGATTAATTATGCACATCACTCATGCATTCTTATGCATATTATATGCATATTCACACACACACACACACACATATATATACCATCATACATATATATTTTTCATGACACACACATATGCCCAAATAATTGATGCATACACATTTATGCATATAATTTTACATATTAGCATGATCAAATATATTAATTTATCATGATGTCATGTAAGCACATAAATAAATAATCACGTATTAGTTACCTCAGGTGATAATCAAGACCCAATTATCATAGATAGAGAAAGATAAGCGAATGATGCTGACTGTATTTTTTGATAGGAATAGAACAGATATGAGTGCAAGGCAATATTTGTACAAAGACTTTCAGAAACACTACACGTGGAATTGGAGCACACGTTGATGGAATCCCCGATAAAGAGGATCAATGAAAGGCCGACTTGTGTCTGCAAATCCAGTAGAAGGAGAGCGGTTCTACCTACGCCTACGTTTATCTCATATTACTGGGCCTACTTTCTTTGAAGATCTATACAGTTTTAACGGCTTACTGCATCCTACATTTCGCAAAGCATCTCTTGAGAGAGGGTTAATAGAGAACGTTGACAACTTATCCCAATGTCTTGGAGAGGCCTCCTTATTTCAATTTCCGGCTGCTCTTAGGAGGTTATTTGCCACGATGTTGATCTATTGTGAGCCAAGAGATGTTCGAAGTTATGGGATGACCACTATGATTCACTTATGGAAGATTATATGCGCCAATGTGAAAGTGCTAATCGAGTCCATAATATGGTTTTAACTGATATCCTCATTTTTCTACAGTCTATGGGTAAGAGTCTTGATGATTTCGATCTTCCAATGGTTGATGCAAATTCCAATTTTCAATCTGGAGAATTTCGTGAGGTACAAGAGGAATGCTCTATAGTTGTGGAAGATGAACACTTGCGTGCCCGAGACTCTCTAAATTCCGACCAGAAATACGCATATGATGAGATCATGAGGCACGTAGACAAGGATTGTCCAGGAGTGTTCTTTATAGATGGTCCAGGTGAAACCAGGAAGACTATTTTGTACAAAGCTTTGCTTGCCAACATCCGTTCACGTGGACTTATTGCTCTCGCAACCGCTTCATCGGGTGTTGTTGCCAATAATATGCCTGGAGGGAGAACAGCTCACTCTAGATTCAAAATTCCTCTCAACCTTGATAATAACTCAATGTGCAACATAAAAAAACAAAGTGGGGCTGCTCAATTGATTCGAGACGCAAAAATAATCATCTGGGACGAAGCATCGATGGCAAAGAGGCAAGCAGTGGAGGCGCTCGATCGAACAATGCAAGACATCATAGGGGTGGCACTCTCATTCGGCGGAAAGATAATGGTTTTGGGGGGTGATTTTAGACAAGTATTACCGGTCATGAGGCGTGGAACCCAAGCACAGATTGTAGATTCTAGCTTACGGACGTCACCTCTTTGGGCAATGATTAAAAAGATACGGTTAACGCTCAATATGGGAGCACGCACTGATACGTGGTTTTCAGAATTTTTATTAAGAATCGGTGATGGAGATGAAGAGGCGGTGGACGAAAGCTTTATTTGCATACCGGATGACATGACCATTCCCTATATTGATAAAGGTAAGTCAAAAGATGCCCTGATTGACATAATCTTTCCATATCTACAAATCAACGGAGCTGATTCGGATTATATCATTTCGAGGGCGATACTGTCAACTAAAAATGAGAATGTCGATGAGATTAATGATCAGTTGATCGGCAAGTTTTCTGGAGATGAAAAAATATACTACAGCTTCAACGAAGCATAAGATGATAAGAACAACATCTATCTGATGGAGTCCTTAAATTCTATAACTGTTAGTGGTTTGCCTCCTGATTACCTTCGTCTCAAGATTGGATGCCCAATAATACTGTTACGAAATATGGATTCCTTCGAATGTGTTGTGTAATGGCAGTAGATTGATATGCAGAGGCTTTCAACAGAATGTCGTCGATGTAGAAATAGTTGTTGGTCAGCATGCTGGAAAGAGAGTATTTCTGCCGAAAATTCCCTTATGTCCGTCTGAAAACAACATGTTCCCATTTAAGCTGAAGAGAAAACAGTTTCCAATTCGGCTTAGCTTTTCTATGACAATCAATAAAGCTCAAGGCCAAACAATTTCGAATGTAGGTGTTTATCTACCAGAATCAGTTTTCTCACATGGGCAACTTTACATGGCGTTGTCCAGAGGGATATCACGGGGGAATACGAAGGTGTTAATGAAGCATGTTAAAAAATTGAATCGTGCCGGAGTCTACACCTCAAACGTCGTCTATCAAGAAGTTTTACATGATGAATAAGGTATAATCAACAATTATATTATTACACATTTTGTACCATATGTTTCTATTAAAACCATTGCGTCGTTTTTTGCAGGAAATATTTACGGATGAGTGCATCACAAATTTAGTTTACATTAATTTTCAAAGCCTCCAACTCCGTTTCTTTTATATTATAAATGTCGAGAGGAATGATGAATCAATTGAGAGTGTCAAAGAACACTTGGCATCCTGCCAAGGGAGTTGATACTACCACCTCCAATTACTGGCTGAATTGGAGATATTTTCTATGTTGTCCATGGATATTAGAATCAGTGGTTATGGCTTTCTATCTCATAATGAAATATGAAAGGCCTAATAATCGAAGGACAAGAAACAGAGAAGAAGGAGAGATTAGAGAGAGAGAGAGAGTGTTTTAAATTTAAATTAGATTTTATTTTCTTAACTAATTTTTGCGATCTAAAATAGATCTTACGGATCTTATAGATCAGAATGTTTTTTGAATAATACCTCCWATAAATGWGTAATGCTCAAACTGTAGTTTTATTAATTAGCATATTATATTATATAATTTTTTTATTATCCAGTTTGTACAAAATTCACATATTATATTATTAGATTCGATTCGTGTTAATTATATTATATAATATTAAAATTGACTAATTTTTTAACATATATTTTTACATTTATCAACTAGTTTATCGACTAGTTTTTGACCAACCTGAATAGTTCATAAATTAACTTATCAACTACTATTTAACTAGTTAGCTAGTTTTAGTTATTTATCGATGATATTCTTATCTTCGTCTGATATTGGAATTGCTGAAAAGAGAAAAGTTGTACGCAAAGTTATCCAAGTATGAGTTCTGGTTAAGGGATGTTCAGTTTATGGGTCATGTTATATCAGAAGAAGGGGTGAAGGTAGATCCAGCCAAAATCGAAGCAGTTAAAAAATGGTGTTAGCTCCAGTTTTTACTTAATGTAAAAGTATGAAAAAGATTTCTGCAAGTGTTGACAGAAGGGGTTCTTCCACAGAAGACAACAGAGGACCAGCAACAGAAGCTGTTTGATCGTACAAGTCAAGATTGACAGAACCTCTGTTGTCTCTCACAAAGGTTCTGGAAAATGGTCCTCTGGCAATAAAGAACCTACAAGTCTTCTACAGCAGAGCCTCTGAGGTGGCTCACAGAGGGTCTGCAGATTTGTCTTCTGTGAAGATCTTGTTCTGCTGTTTTTCAAAGGTGGTTAGCTGCACGTGCTTCTCACGTGACTAGGTCTGTAATCGACTTTATTTGGACGGCTTGGATGATTTCATACGTCTAGGTCATGTCAGAAAGATCGTTAGGAACTAGTATAAATAGCAGTTTAGGCCTTTGTAATTCAGTGTGCTTCCCGTATTGTAATCGTCTTATTTTCAATTCAATTGAAAAACCTTTGAAGCTATTCTCTCGTGTTCATCATT